TTGTTAAAACTGTGTTGTATGATGACCAAATAAGTTTTTTGAGCCCCGATCATCGAGTTCACGTGGTTTAGTTCGGCATCTCTTTGATAAAAACCTTGTGATCGATTGCAACTAATTAGGATGCCATTAAGTACTCGGGTGCCAATTACTGCTCTCTGGTTTAGCCATTCGATCCACCTATCCCGGTCAGTGCATATTTGATATCACTGTTACCCAGGCCCACACACCGGTTTTATAATCATGTTCTGTTGTAGAACCCATGTTTCCTGCATCCCGAAAGTATTTCTCTACACCTGGACTTACGCGACTTTCGGAGCGTTTGTTTTGTATTGGAAAACCTACGCAAACAGCAAAGAAAACTCCGTTCTACGATTTTCATGTGGCGGAGAATGCTAAACTAGTTGATTTTTGTGGTTTTTCGCTACCGATTGTGTACAAAGCCCAAAGTATTATCGACAGCCATCGCCATGTGAGAACAAATTGCGGAATTTTTGACGTTTCTCATATGTTGCAGGTACGAATAAATGCTTTATCTCTATATGATCTTAGACCAAATTATCCGGCGCAGATCGTATAAAATTTATGGAGTCATTGACTGTGTCGGACTTACAGGGCCTCCGTAAGGGATGTGGAACATTGTCTGTTTTTCTGAATGACAATGGTGGTATAGTGGATGATCTCATAATCACTGTCTGCAGGGAGCCCTATCTTTACGTAGTTTCGAATGCTGCATGCGCTGCCAAAGTTCGGGCACACCTGACCGTAAGTTCTAAATGTATGGGTCAGAAGATTATTGTGTAGGAGAAACAAAAGGCATTTGTCTCCTCAGGCAATGAGGTTAATTTGGAGTTTCTGGATCACGCACTGCTTGCCGTCCAGGGTGAGTGCATTTTGTTTCTTTTTTTTTCAAGTAGAATACACTATACGTGAAATTCGTTTAGTCTGCATCATACATACTTTACTTTGAATTAAAGGTATAGAAATGGACAATTGAACATCCAGATCCTGTTCACACTCCCTTCAGTTTGCCATTACAGCCCTATTTCATAGTTTCTTGGAATACCTTTTGTTCTTTTTTATTGATTGTTTCGTGATGCACTTTCATCTCGGCTGTAAGTACACATGCAGCTCGGACGGCGTTCTGCGGGGCTAATAACCACCGGATGACACCTAAGTCAAACCAGAGGCGCCCGACTGCTGTAGTAGTTTACGTTTATACTGAGTTTGGAACTTGGACATACCACATGATCATAGCCATACGTCGGAGGCAGCAGTAGTTGAAAATTTCCAGTTTTTTGTCATCCAAGCTAGGTGGTCACGTTCCGCAAGCGTACGTAACGTCAGATCGAGTGGCGGCTCTGTCAACTTGCAGCTTTGTGTGTAACTGGTTTCATTGCAAAGTCGCAAGTGTTTAAGAAGTTATATAATTGCCTTCCTTGGACAGTTGATAGGAAGCTTGATTTCGTTTCTGACTCGACCGTTTGGATGAATAGTAGATCTCAGGTACTCAGGTACGTAGGCCCATATTGAGTTCATATTCTTTACGAGTCGTGTTTCGTTTTGCGCTGTGCCGGCCACGTATTTACATGATCCTCATACTGTCCAACACATCATACCATGAGCATGAAAGCAAGGGCGCAGGTTTCAAATCACAGGGACACTAGCTTGTATCTTTTTATGCTTCATGTTAGGGTCTCACTAAGGGCTCTCTGCATTGTCGCAGCATGATAAACCACAGTCCTTTGAACCGTATCTTCGCTATCTGATCGTAACTTGTTTGAATGATCAATTTTTATTAACTACTACCTCTGAAATTTCCGCAAATTTTTTCATGAACCCCTTAGAATTGTCCATTTTCATTTTGTTTTCAGGACCCAAAGCCAACTCAATTATCCGTGAGGGTATCCAACACAATGATAGACCGATATTTGACGATTTGTACCATATGGAGAGCACCGTTATCTCTTCCCTGTTCGGTCTTTCCAGTCCGCCCCAAGAGATCCGTATTACCCGTTGTGGTTATACCGGTGAGGATGGATATGAGATCAGTATTCCAAGTTCTCTGGCCTTACCATTAGCAAGAAAACTACGCGAATATGGCTCAGTGAGACCAATCGGACTTGCAGCCCGAGATACACTGCGATTGGAAGGTGGGATGTGTTTATACGGAAACGAACTGTCTGAGACGACAAGCCCGGTCGAGGCTGCGCTTACGTGGCTTATCGGTACGTGATTTGTGACTGTAGCTGTTTTTGCTCAGCCTCATGGTATCCAATTGCTGTTCGTTTGTACCCAGTACAGTATCTTTTCTCATTTTCAGGCAAGATTTATTTGAAATCCCGGTTGATTTACCCCGTATAGGATCTGTCAGCTTTCGCTGCGTACACAGTTTCCTTTCATACTATTCTCAGTGTCATACCTGAAGTTACAACTACCATTATCTGGTCATTGAGCAACTCTTTTCTTCAATATCTCAGGATTCGGAATCATTCA